ATGGTGCAGCTGAGGGTTTGACAATTTGTGGGGAACAAATAATCACACAGGGCCAGCGTGAGCCTCTTTTAATTACAGTACGGCTGCTCTGACTCTCAAATCAAAAGAAGGATCCTAATTTAGAAGAGTGGCTGTTGAAGGTCTCGTTTCTGTGCTGCCTTTCCCGTTTAGGGCGTCTGCAGTCTAACCAGAATTTGTCAGGAAGGCCATGGGACCCGAACAGATTGTGTGGTTTGAGTGGGCATTTTGTGCCCCGAGAGCCAGAGTTTTAAAGCGCGGTTCGTTCGTAGGCAAGAGAAGCAAAGCACGGTTTTGAAAGCTTTGTCCCTTTTCACGGTCTTTACACATTCCAGATCGATTGAACACTCTTCTAAAGCAGAAAGTCTTCGATCCGGGTCCGGTGTGTTGTGAGAGGTAGACTGCATATAGGCCGAGGGGCTTCCTGGCTCTGCCCTCCTCACAAACAAACCTGAATGTTTCATGTCTTCTGGATGCAGCCAGCATGTTGTGCAGCGGAAGAGACTTGGCTTGGAATGCCTGCCGAGGGCAGAACAATATATTTCAGGGGTCCCCAACGTGGCTCCCACCGATACCTTTCCAGTTTGGTTTGAGAGCCAGTTTGGTGCAGTGGTTAAGTGCACAGACTCTAATCTGGGAGAACCGGGTTTAATCCCCCACTCCTCCTCTTGCACCTGCTGGATGACCTTGGGCAAGCCATAGTTCTATCAGAGCTGTTCTCTCAAGGACAGTTCTCTCAGAGCTCTCCCAGCGCTCCCCTACCTCACAGGTTGTCTGTTGTGGGGAGGGGAAGGGAAAGGCATTTGTAAGCCACTCTGAGACTCCTTTGGGTAGTGAAGGGCGGGGTATAAATCCTCTTCCTCCTCCTCTTCCTCTTCGGGGGTGGGGACAGGTGAGGTTTCTGTCCAGCTGGGCTTCTGATTGGCCCGTTGGAGATCTGGGTGGCTGTGCCAATTTTTAAAAAGTTGCTTCTGCAGCAGCTGCCACCACAGCACAGGGATCTTCACGGAGTGACCCAAGGCCAGGTGTGTCTGTGCCGGGAAATACTTTCAAATGATACGTTCATCCCGAAAGGCATCCTATTAAACAGAGCTTGTGCCTGAAACGTTGCAGAGCTGCTGTTAGAGTCATGCATCCTGGACATTTTGTGGTTGGCCCCGCCCCTGGGGGACCCATTTTGCGTTTGCGCCTGCAGCCCTGAGTCAGTATTCCAAAGGTGCCTGCCTGCAGGCTCAAAAAAGGTTGGGGACCCCTGGTATATCATGTGCCACATGGGGCGCCTGCTGAAAAAAGCAGTCTTGGTCTGAAGTGTAGTTCCCTGCACCTTTCTTTATGGGGAT